CTTGCGCTGGTCTGATGATGAAGTATGGAAGCACGGCCCATCTCTATTTGCTTTGGGTGGTCTCCCTGCCGGGCCTGTATACTGAGGAATCCAGGTTTCCTTCATTGCAGCGGCATAGGGACATGTAGAACGATCGAATTTAGAGAAGGTTTCGATTCTAGTCTATTCCCCTCTCAGATAGGGCGAAGCCGTAGCATTCATGTGGCTTCAATCCGAAGTTGAACCTCTGAACCCAGAATGATGGCGCTGAGGACCTAAACCCGGATGGGAGAGCTGGCTGTAACTTCAACGAAAAGGCCTGGGGAGGGGAAGAGTGAAGGATCTAGCTTCCGGCTCTTCGGATGTCTGGCGTACGGGCGGTTTTCCAACCGTTCTGTCCATCGATCGCAGGAGGGAGCCCTGAAAGACAGGGCCGGTGACGATGGTCAGGAGTTCAGGCTCGGCCTTTTTGCGAGACCGAAGTGGAAGAGCTCACAGTTTGCGCCCGCACACATGGCATTTAGGGTTTAGGGCTTTGGGCTTCTGCAAAGCATCTGCAGCTGTGGGATGCTAGCACCGGGCTTCTTGCAGAAAGCCCCTCATGTCCTTCTGCTGAGGGTTGAGCGCAGGGGACATGGCTGGGAGTGCATGCGGTCCACCAACACCTTTGGGTAGAAGGTCTCGCTAGGCCACGGGCACTTCCACCACATCCTTAGCTGGGCTGCGAAACGATACCGAAACGAGGGTGGTAGGGTGCGTGTTTCTCACATCTCTAGGCCCTGTGCGCAGACTGTGGCGTACAAACGAAGTCGAGCACACAACATACGGACCAAGAAGAGCTTCGAACTCAAACGTGCTAGTAGCTTGATGACCGTTCTCAAAGAGATGACGGATCTTGATTCAGAGCAGCTCTGGTCTAAGCTGAGCTGCTTCATCGTGGAACCCTGCACTGCGTGGACATCGCCCACCTCGCTACTCAAGCCTTAGTTGCTGAGTTCAGAAGCCCCCAAAAAGTGTACACTTACAGCCGGCTGTAATATTGTCCCAAAAAGTGTACGCTTTCAGTTTTATAGGGGTTAAGAATTCATATTATCACAAAAAATGCATACTTTCAGTTTTATAAGGGGTAATACTGTCCCAAAAAGTGTACACTTTCAGTTGTAAAAGGCTGTAATCTTATCCCAAGAAGTGTGTAAAGTGTATCCACTCCGCCGCCAGGAAGCCTCGAGCAGAGAATGCTCGCAAGGAGCCCTGGGCCCGGGCGTCCCAGCAAAGCCATGGCTGCGGGGGTGGAGCCTCGGCCACCATTAGTTCTTTAAAAAACCTAAAAACCTATATTTTTAAAAAAACATCCACATACATTTGAGGTGATTGTGGAAATTAGGGTCCCGTTTTGGATACCCTGAATATTAAGCGCCGTATTATATTAAGGACCCAAAAAGGGACCCTAATTTTTGACAACCACCCATTTAAATCCCCACCCATTACCAATACTACTTTGGGGTTCCTCGCTATAACGATAGTATCAGACACCCCAAGACCCGATTCTAATTATTACGGCCCTGTACTAAACCCCCATAATACCCTTTATAGTAATCCTTATATAGAGCCCTTTATAAGAGCCCCTTTAAAGGAGCCCTCTTCTAGTTATTAAGGCCCCCCTAAACTCCAAAGCCTGAGACACGCACGGAGTTGCTCGAAGCGCAGGCCGCGGGCTTCGCACGTAAACTTCGGATGCCCGAAAAAAATACTTAGAGGATCATGGGACTTTGTAAGTGGGTTATAATTGGGGTTATAAGTCCCCTAAGTGGGGTTATCCTAATTATAACCTACTTATAACCTTACTTACTAAGTCCCATGAGCCTTCAAGTAGAGAGAGCTCACGGCAGCGGGCCGGGCCTTGTCTGGAAATGAACATCAACCAAGGGAAGAGAACAACAAGGCGAGCATCAAAAAACAGGAGCATGCACAAGGATGCTGCAGAAACAAGCAAAAAGTGGGTGCATATAGCCACTTTCTGCACTCCATGTCTCCACGTTGCTACTTCGTCTGGCTTGCCCCTCGTGTTCAAGTGAAACATCATCTTCTGCAAGTGAGACTGCAGCGAGCTGATCTCAGACTGCAATGGGCCAGACATGCGGGACACGCGGGACAAAATGTGTGCCTTGTGGCAAGGCTCGAAGAAGACCTCAAACGCAGCAAGTTCTGACATGCGCTGATTGGATACGGTGTCTCCACCCATAACGTGCTCAGGCAGATCCGCCCACTCCACAGGTACCAATTCTCCATGTTTGCGGTCGATCCCCAAAGATAGCGTGTTTTTGATCTGCAGCCACCACCTGTCTGATGGATCACGACTGCGCCCCAAAGTCGCACCAACTGAAGCTTACCTCACCTGTGGCTCTGTCTTTCACATAGAGTCTAGGGCAAATTAGCTCCGTGAGCATCAGGGTGGATGAGCTCCGTGGTGACTGCCATTGAAGCGATGTCGTGTATATAGCCCTATACAAAAACAGCCACCATCAGCTCTGTCATCCACTTGGATGCTGAGTGTTGCCATCTGCAAGCCATAAGCAGGCCAAGCACTTTCAAAAAAGAGCGGAAAGCGGGTGTCTTGCTTACGACGCACATGGAAGACTCTGTTTTGGGCATTTGGATGCGAAAGGCCAGCCCTCGCAGCCAGGACTCGCTCTACGTTTCTCGTTTCGGGAGGCTGCAGAATCACCGTGCCGGGAAATTACATTCTGTTCAGCTGGTTCAGCGCCCATTCTGAAGCTCTGTCTGGCTGTGGCATTGTGAAGGAAGCCAAAAGCAACCGACTGAAATCGTAAAACACAGGTTCTTGGTAAAAAGAAAACACCGCGGCAAATGGGGGCACATGTCATTTCAAAGAAATCCGAGCAGTGCCCGAGCAAAAACGTTTTGGACACGCCAGCCGCCGTTCCGTCGACGGTGCAGTTCCTAATCGACGCATCGGTTGACCTGGCACCTGCCAAGAGCCGTCGGGAGGCATGCTGCGATCAGCACAGATGCGAAACAAATCAAAGCCATTGCGGGAGAGGCAACTCGGAACCTAGCTTGAAAGCATCATGCCAAAAGAATGTCAAACAGGAATGCTAAATGCAGGACAACAGAGGCGTGTGTCTGCTTTGGCCTTGAGCCAGCGCCGTCACCGCCGCAGCTGGCTGACATCGCAAAGATCCGAACCCGAGAGTGCGATCCGAGCTTGCCGATGCAACCCGTGCTGATAGCATCCATCTATGCCACCCTCGACGAAAGAGCACTTGTGTTTCTCCGCCGTGTTTGGATCAACACCCCTGCTTGAAACTTGTCACCCCTTCGTGGCGCACACGGGCCTTTCAAACTGCAAAGATTCAGGGTGACGAAACCCGGGGTGACAAGGTTGACGCATTTTGGGAAGAGCCTCCGAGCTCTCCTCAGCCCACAAGGGACTCGAAACAAGGGAGGAGCCCTCCTACACCTAAGAAACCTGGCAGATGCAGATGCAGCCACTCCTGTGCAAGACGCAACCACTCACTTGGTTCACTCAGGCCACTGCAAGGACAGCGTGGTGATAAACTTCCAGACCTGAACGGTAGAGGGGGCGCGGGATTCCAGAAAGCAGGGCCGTCTACAAGCCTTGCGGACAGAGATCTCCTACTTGCAGCAACCGCTCAAAGTTCCCGGCAGCCATGGCCGCAAACAAAACCTTGAGCTCAATGCTGCTGGCGTTTTCGCCACATGTTCCCTGAAAAGCCATCTAACAAAAACCGCAAGCGCAAAATCATGCCATCATGCAAAACTGCACACACACACACACACACAATCATGCCATGCAAGAAAACACTCGAAATCCTGCCATCATAAACACAAGCCTTGAGACAAGGAGACAAGTGAGACATTGAGACATCGGAGTCTCAGTCTCTGTGGAGTGGGACCCCGCTGGGACGATGAGACAATTGAGACATTGGGACAACTGAGACGTCCTTAATCTATTTAGCCGTTTTGTCTCAATGTCTCCTCTGTCTCATAGGGGTCCCCAGGACCCGGGACGGCCGGTTGTCTCAATGTCTCTTCCGTTGTCTCCGGGGTCTCTCTCGGTCGGGAGCCGCGAGCATCCAGAGCATCAAAACAAACGGCGTGAGAGGGCTAGGGTGCAGGAAGGCAAGCAAAAGAAAACCAGACCGGCCCTACCTAAACCGGGGACCACCCCAGGGACGATGCGGCGCAGCCTAGCGGGGATTAGGGTTCCATAGGGGTTCGGGCTCCAAAGGAGTTCGAGACCTAGGGTAACCGCGGCACCGACATCTGCTGGGATGGACCTGTGCAACAGCTGCTTCGGAAAAAAATTGGTTCAAAGCACAACACCCCTCTGCGGGCTCGTCTTTGGCATTGGGGCTGGCCCAGCCGGCCAAAACAAAAGAGAGAGAGAGAGAGAGAAGCCGAAAGCGCGCATGCACACACACACACAGAGTCCTCACGCATGTGCCATGCCACATGTTCAACCATGTTCAACCCACACTGGGGCCCCGGCCTGTCACTGGAACCAGAAAGCGCTGTGCATTTTTGCACTGGTTGCTTTGCATGTACCAAATATGAATTATGTGGCGAACCAGCAGTGATGCGTCTTCAGATTTCATAGGGTCATAGGGTTTTATGAGGGCTCTGGGGCTCCACCTGGGTTTCATCGAAATCTGTGAGGGTTGCCCAGCAGCATCGAGGCAAACTCAAGCCCACAACTAATCGCCTAATCTTGCCTTGAGCCTGAAACTTGCCGGATGCACCTGTTGCCACGTGTTTTGGCAGACGTGGATATATACTGCCACATCGGCAGAATCACTTACAAAGAGGAGCACAACCTGCAATCACAGCTCCCAAAGCAATGTGAAGCGGAAGAGACTTCACGTTGCGTGCTGGCGTGCACCTGCCCCCCCCACCCGCACCTCAAGCTGTCTCTAAACATCGGTCCCTCTTTTGATGCACGCCTCGCTCGGCTCGGTGATCTCGGCAAAGCGATAGGCTCACATGGCGAGGTGAGAAATGGCCTTCCAGTCCGGCATCGTATTCACGGACTTGTGCTCACTGATCTCCGCCAGGCTGACCATGATCGTCCCAATGAGAGCCAATACCAGCGTCGCGATGCCAACGGGTAACAGGAAAGCAAAGGCGCCCCAGATGCAAAGACCCCCTAAGGCGAAGAAGATGAAGGCACCGACGCAGGTCAGCTTATTGTCCCACCCGCATTTGTGGTTGCGGGAGTTGAAGTAGTGCATGCTCACTTTCCAGAAGCAAACGGTGAAGAGTACCAAAAGGATACAGATGAAGACGCAAAAGAAGATGAAGCCCCCATCCTGCACTCTCTCGGACTTCTCGGACTCGTCTGCGAGATCTGATGTGTCCAGGAGGCTGATCCGATCCGAGCCGATGGCACGAGCCAAGCGCTCCGACTTCACCTGAATCAAGCCGTCCGCGGTGTCATCCGCGCTCGTCGAGTTGGACAACAACTGGTGACCTTCTTCGGCTGTCTTAATCAAGGTCTGGACATCCGTCTCTTCCTCACGGACGAGAAAATCGCGGCAGGCTTTTGGGATCCCGTGAGTCACATCCTTCAAGTCATTGACGTCGTGGCCAGGCACCGTCAAAAAGTAGTCCACAAAGGTCTCCAGCTGTGCTCGTTGCTCGTCCGTCTCGTCACTGAGGCTACACTTCTCGTCGGTCTCTTGCTTGAGGAACTTGATAATCATATTGGGGCGCTTCTTGACATAGTCCACCAGGGTACTGTGCAGCTTCGCCGGCACAGACAGGTCCTGGGAGTCGCGCACCTCCGCGACACTGGCCCGGGCCGCCCTCTTGTACTGCGGGATGGTCAACCGGTCCTGGCGGCCGCGCCAGTGCTTCATGTCCGTGTACGCCGTGCGCGCCGCGGCCCTTGCAAAGTTGCCGCTGTCGGGGCCGAGGCGCGCCGGGGTGACCTCCATGAGATCGAGAATTTGGCTGGCTTCCTGAAACATCAGCGCGGAGGCCTTCAAGGAAGACCGGCTCGATCGCTTCTCCGAAATCCCTGGGCTTTGCTCCAACTTCTCTGCAAGGTCCAACACGTCTCTCTTGATGTCCTCCAGCTTGTTGGCAATCGCCAGATCTGCTGCGTCGTGATCTGCTGCACCCACCGCCCTGCACTTCTGTTCAGCCCCGAAAGGTGCCAGGTTGTCGGCAGGGCTGGAGCCCACCTTTTCACAGAAGTGCGAGGGGCCGCAGACATCGTTCTCCGAGTCGTAGAAGCAGCGGAAAGCACAGGTGTTTGGCTTGCCCATACCTCGAGCAAGACACTCATCAATCTACGATGGAGACTATTGAGACGATTGACTACTACCTTCGACCCGAAGATGCGAAAGCCATCAAAAGAAGAAAACAGCTCCTGGGCACAACCAGGATACACGAGACTTGGCCGAGCATGGTGTCTACCAAGATCATGACCTCACGATCGGGCTCGTTCAAGGGCTTCGGGGGTTGGCCGGGCACCTGCAGCTCCATCTTGGGGTCATAGGACTTCGCTGCATATTTTTCTACCTCATCCTTGATTGACCGGAAGCACACAAAAAGATGCAGTGTTTCCGATGTTTCCCTTTCTAAACCCCACCCCCTGCAAAGATGAAAGACACTTCCTGGGGCCAGCCAAGCATCCTCATCCGCGATCTTCTGCGTGCCCTTGCTGTTGAGGAAGTAGCGGATGATCTTGCCGTCCTCGTTGTGCTCATAGACCGGGTGCCCTGCAGAACGGAACCAGCCTTCCTTCGTCTCTCCCACCTTCGGGTTCGTCTCCATGCGGAAATACAAGGCCTCGTTCTTGGAGTAGTGGCTCGATCCGAAATGGCCCTTGTTTGCACGATATGCCTGCCACCCCGCGATCCACATGGTCTGCATGCCGTCGATCTTCTCGGTCGCCACCACTGCATCCGGCAAGATGCGGTACGTTGTGTCCAGGCCCTCGATCTCAACATACGCAGGCGACTCGTGCTCCTTGTATCGGAAGGTGACATGGGCTGAAAGCCATTGCAAGGAACTCTGTTTCCCTGAGGCCCACATGGTCGATATGGAAAAACTGCCAGCATCCGCAACCTCCTCGTGCTGCTGATGCCGAGCAGAGGACGCCTCCCTGGCATTTCCAACGATGTTGACTGCATGCGCTGCGTGGAATGTGTCCCGCGCGGCGGAGACCTCCCTCATCGCCAACAAGAAAATCAATGCACAAGCCAGCCTCTGGCGGGCCGCACGCTGTCCGGCCATGAGTACTTCACAGGCAAAGGGACAAATCACAAACAACTTCAAGCTTTTGTGAGAATGCTCGAGTTGTCAGCAGCAGCGGAGATGACCCCATGCTTCATTGTTTGGGTCGGTGCTCACACCAGCGACCTCGACACTCAACTTGTTGTTTCGGTCTCTACGTTTGTCGTCAGCATCGATCTCTACGTACACATCTAAACATGCAACCTCGTGAATGAAGCTCTATGCTCAAAGCTCTGGACATTCTTGTCCATGTTGAGGCAAACTGCCTGCTGAAGAAAACTAAGCCGAATCATGAAAGCTACGCGGAAACATGTGGAGCTCATTCTCGCTTGTTCTTGCTCGTAGTTGTTGGCATGTCTTCCTTTTTGTTCGTTGTTGTAAACGTCTTATCACTGTCTGGAGAACAAATACCACATAAAAACGACGTCTTATTTTTCTCGGATCTTTGCTTTATTCCATATTCGATAAAACATCCAATCATAATATTCCAAAAAGCTATATGGGAAAATCGATCTACAAAGCATAAGAAAAAGGCTCAGGCAGAGTTGGTCGCTTTTTCCTTCCGGCAGTGCCGAAGGGGGAAGTCGTGACATCTCCACCGATCGATGGCGAACCCACAATGATCGCCAACGAACACCCCGGGAGTTGAGGGAGAGACAGAACAAAACCAGCCCATGGGCTGGGGAGTAGCTACCCACGCATCCCATCCCTGTTTCGAGGCGGCGCGGGAAAGACAGGTTAATCAATCACCAAGTTCAAAGCATGTTGTTCATGCCATGATTCAAAATAAAATAAAGCAAAGGCGTTTTGAAAATCTTCTCGCAAGATTTTCAAAGCTCTCCTAAGAAAATCAAACTAGTAGATGCAAGCTTCATGTGTCGTGTAATTTCCACGGCGCTTTGCTTTATTCCATATTCGATAAAACATCCATTCATAATATTCCAAAAAGCTATATGGGAGAATCAATCTATAAAGCATAAGAAAAAGCTCAGGCAGAGTTTCCTTCCGGCAGTGCCGAAGGGGAAGTCGTGACATTTCCACCGATCGATGGCGAACCCACAAGGATCGCCAACGAACACCCCATTCAAGACAGATGGAGATCTGGCGTGGCAATGCCTTCGATCGGACAAAGAGGCGAAACTCTGCACACTCGACCTCGGGTTGGGAACTCGGCCTTCCCGTGCGAAGGAGGGTCCGACGGATTGCTCGAGCTAGGCACTCTGCTGAAAGACGGCAACATGGCTTCCGAGTCGTAGTTTTCGAAGAGCAACAAAAGCTGCCTCCGCAAAGAATCTTTTGAAGAACCCTGCATCAAGAAAGCCAGCACCCCCGGAGTGATCCACCTTGACACGCTGCATATTCATGTGATTTGCCCAAACCGCTCTCGCACCCACCACTGCATACATCTCGACTGGGTCGATCAAATGCATCTTCCCGAGAGCTTCCCAGCCCTGTACAATGCTCATGGAGATGGCACATGCAAAGTAGAAGGTGCGCCATGCCCCGTTGTCAAAATGATACGACTCCACGACTGTGGCAAGATGAGAACCATTCAAAAGCTCATAGGCACCATCCGCTAAGATTATTGAGCGGCATGACCCCGCAAAGGCCGGAACTCTCCTGGAGGTACTTCCAAGAACCCGGGGCCTAAGATTACACAGCTGCCTTGCAGTAGCATCAAGATATCTGGCTTGCGAGCTCATCGTGCAAGCTCTGAGGTCAGCTAAGGCCAGTCTACTCAATCGCCCACGCAACCTTCGGCAAACTAGATGCTTCCAACAAGCGTTGCCCACAAGCATCGCACCGCATAGCGCAATAAAGCCATCAAGCATGCGAGCAGCACTGGCAACATCACGCGAGCCAAGTCCCCACATGTGCTTCAAGGTAACAACCCAACTCAACGGTTTGGTGAACAAGTCAGCAACATGTGCCTCATCACGCATGCCAAACACAACTGGAAAGGCTTCCACTGACCCGCCTGCCTTCTGTAGATGACTTCTGTGCTGAGTGTACTTGTCAGATTGCGGCAAAAGTGCAGAAAGCGAGTGCATATGCCCTCATGAACATGACTGTTAAATGAAAACAATCGGTGGACACACCTAAAACCTGCCTCAGAAAACAGAAATCCATTTCGCTAATCTTGCTGGCTCAGGGGCCCAGCTTTTTTGCAGGTACGTCCGACTGGCCAAGTCGGATATCCCATCTGCAACCGTAGCTTCGTTGCACACGGTAGGTCGCAGATGCCGTGTGCCCCTGCAAACTTTAAAACGAAAGGAGCATGAAAACAAGAAAAATCCATGGGTCAAAGCATGTACCTACAAAGGTTTGCAAACAGAAAAACCTAAGAAAAATGGACATGTGAATGCAGGTTTGTCGCATGTACAGCAGAATAACACAAACAGGCCCCCGAAGGGGCACAGAAGCTTCAAGGTGCACGTTTTTTGCGACGGTTCCCAATCATCGTGATAGCAGCAAGCCTATTCACGTCTACGCTTCTTGATGGCTCTCTCACTGCGGTCAATAACCTGGTGGTAATAGCATCGGCAATGATTGTGACCTTCGTCTGCTCGAGCACATACCCGGCCACAGTTCGTATGAGAGCACAATCCTGAGCATCGTGACATCCTTTGTTGAAAATCCGAAGAATCACGTAGGATTTCGACAACACGAAGCATCAAGCGAATAAGGTCCTGTGGATGGATGTCATTAGAGCGAAGAGCATCGAGGGCATCGGCAGCTGATGTTTGCACAATATCCTCCAAATTGTCATCGCTGGCTCGCCTCGACCCTGGTTCATATCGAAGAGTACGACGACCACTGGACGACATGATTACACACTGAGACTTCAATAGGCTTGAGCACCGTACATCAGCACGAAAGAGGACAATACCTAGGCCAACATGTCAAGACTCGCATGACAAAGGACACCATTTATTCTCATGTGGCGTGATCCACTCAAGTCCAGGTCGTATCTACACTTTACAGTGGGTGAACAATGCGGCGCACATTAAGATCATCGATGAAAGCCGATCCAATACGCACTCGATCTTCATTGGAGTGATGAATCCATTCCACATTTGCATGGCGCACTTGGGCAAGACGCCAAAGCTGCTGAATATTGAAGAATGTGCGATCGCCAACCAATCGGATAATAGTGTAATACCATTCTTTGCATACGGACGCAAACACCACAATGTGAGGTAATGCGGGAGCTTCACACGTGATCGGCGTGTACACGCTGGGTCCTTGCATAAAGAACTCCCATACTTCAGCACGAAGATCCATACCTTCTGTTCTGCATTGTGTAACAAACTGTTCAAGATCATACATCGTATGGAATCCATGTCTGCGAAGAGTAACATCCAGAGTCTCAAGTGGATCTAGTGGTGGAAAGGTGAAGAAGAAAATAATATGGCGTCGGGTGCTGATGAAAGTCAGCACTTTCTCTGTCAGAACAGTAAGTTCCCACATGGCGTCGAGGAAATGTCTACAACCTTCAGAAGGCACTACGAAAACATTCGGGCTCACATCCTGCAGTAAAAGAAGGACAACTTGTTGATTGCAAAAGCAACAAAATCTCATGAGCTCGCATAACAAACCGCACTACAGCATTTATTTCCTTGATCAGCACACTGCTCAAGTTCACCACGATGATTCGTGTGGCCAGGTTCTCACAAATTGAACGGCCTGCGTAGTATGCGGGAAGGCAGCAACTCGAGAAATCGAAGATGTGAATGGTAAATGTTGACCAAATTGCCTTAATTGGAAGGCGTTCAAACGGGGTGGAATCCCCGTACGGTTCGCAAGCTCATCGCACACCTTCCTCTTCAGGTCATCAATCGTAGAATCTGTAGGCAAAGAGAGCCAGAAACCCATCTCACGTCCGCCAGAGCATATATCCGGAGGTACAACAACTGGAATCCTGACCATCGGAGCTGGGGCCGGAAGGGCCGCCATACTTGCTGTTCGCTTCATCTTACAAATTGAGCCGTAAGCAACTTCGAAGTGTGATGCTGCTAGGATGCACAACACATGTCTGCGACTCAGAAGTTGCAAGCAAGTTCGGGACAACAGTTTTGTCTTCCACATACGTCTGGCTTACCTGATGTGACGAGAGCCTCCAAGTGAAACAGTGGTGCTTGATCTTGACCTAGACCTCGACCGGGATCTCTCACGGACCTCCGATTCACTCATGGATCTGCTTCTCCGAGCAGCAGGAGCAGTCTGTTGCCGTCGACGGGGCAGTGCACCACGCTGTTGAGGATCCGAAAGAGTCGATCCATCCATGACTGTCGGTGCAGCGTCACTCGAAACAGCTCCAAGAGAAGCATCCGGATGAGAGGGAGACGGAGAGAAAGGAAAACGACCAGAAGCAGAGAAGGACACAGGAAGGGGAGGAGGAAAAGCAGGAGGGGGAGGAGGAGGAGGAGGAGGAGGAGGAGGAGGAGGAGGGAGGGGAGAAGGAGAAGGAGAGGGGGCAAGAAAAGAAGACAACGAAGGCACAGAAGACACAGAGACAGAGTGGGAGGGAGCGCCAAGATGTTGTGCAACAAGGGCATCTGCATCGTTCTGAATCCGGCGTCGAAGATGAGAAAGAAAGACTGCCCTCTGGCGGCGATCTCCCAAGATCTGAAAAAGAGCCGTGACTTGATCTCCATCCAGACTGCTGATTATGTCATTGCAGCTCAGCAAAGAGCCAGACATTGATACGTTAACAGCGGTGCATAAGTACTTGAACCAACGTCTGCCAGGACTCACATTTTTGCAAACTTATGCACACAATTGGACAGAACATTGGCGGACACTTTTTTAACCTCAAAGCCACCTATATGACTCTAACATGCGCGACGGGAAATTCGCACGCCGAGAACGTAACTTGGTGAAGTTGACACCAACATGTCTCGATACACATGAGCTGGTATGTACAAGAAGGCTTCAATCGAGAACCATGGCAAACTCGTAATCGCATCAGAAACTTGATATGTCGCAATGTCAAAGTA